CCATTATTCATATTTTTTTCAGAAGAACCACAAAAGTTTTATTTTAACTCCATGTTTACAAAACATAGTGATTCATACATGAACTGGGTTTTCACTGGGTTTAATACATTAAAATGACATAATCCATCCCTACTCATGCATTACTTTCAGAGATACAGCACAACTGGAAATAGAGTTGCCATCACGGTGGACATTTCTAAAAAGCAAATGCCTATGGGTGCTCCTGAGCCCTCAAAACAATAATAGAAGTAAAAACAAAAGTAACCGACACCACAGTTCTCTAAGAATGGCTGTGTTCTGCACATTGTGGAAAAATAATAAAAATAGCCTTCTAGAGTTTCAATATGCTTCATAACATGGATTTCGTCTCCCTTAGTTTGCTTGCTGCCTTCTGAGATCACTTGATTAGAAGCCTGTTTTCATTGCTTCTGTACTAATTGCTGTTGGTCTTTGTAGGCTACATGTTTTAAGCTTCTGTAAAGAACATTACAAGTTACTTGATGTAATTTAATTTTGTACTGAATGTTCTTCAAAGAATTTTATAAAAAATACAACATTTTACATGAGTCTTCAAATTCTCTTGTGAAACAATATTGTTGCTTTTTCCAACTTTATCTATAAATTATCTAATTCCAGGTAAATTTAAGAGGGATCCAAGAATTGGCATTCTTCTAATAAAGCCAACCACACAGAAAAGAAGCCCCTGAACAAGTTAAAAAATCCATAATTTTCAAAGATCCTGCCTCTCAAAGGCCAACCAATAAGAACTACAAATACACCACCTAGGAAAAATCCTGTAGCTTTCATTTTATGTTTTTGGAAGAAGAATCTGAATGTGCTTTCTAAACTGATTATAAAAGCCTAGCCAGTCACAAACAAAACATTTCCAATAGCCAGTAGTACTTTGTCAAAAAAAGAGAATCATTCCAAACAACAGGAAAAACTGTTAATCCCATTTCAATTTTCTGGGTGTCTGTTAAGGAGATCATGGTTGTAGTGGTGAGGGCAGTGGAGGCAGCACGTCAAAATGCCCAGCGTGGAAAGCTGAGTAGGGAGAAAAGAAGGCAGGAAGCAGCCCAGGAGAGCTGTCACATCTTCCAGAAACATCCACTGTTCATAATTTTAAACCATACATTTCTCTCAAAAGCTGAGAAATTAGAGTACAGGGCATGGAGACACACACCTATAATCCCAGCAAAAATGGAGGCTAAGGCAAAATCACAAGTTAAGGATATCCCGGCAATTTAGTGAGGCCCTAGCAATTTAGCCAGAACCTATCCCCAAATAAAAAGGGCTGGGGATGTCGCTCAGTGATTAAGCATCTCTGGGTTCAATCCCTGGTACCAGAAAAAAAAGAGTTGAGAAATTAATCTATGGAAGGTCTAGTGGTCCTGGGAAGAAGTACCACATTGAATATGCATGTAAAAATATCTTAAGTTTCTCCTCTGAAACAGTGGATAATTTRCTTGATKTTATATAAGGTAAAAGTGTGCCTATCTCTGCCCTACTGTACAAGACTTTGGATATCTAGATAAATGACATTCAGTTTATGCTTTAAACTGCTTAAGTTTAAAGAAGAATTCTCAGTGACATTTCTTAAATTCCCTCTATGAACACAGAATAAATTTCATAGGTCTCTGAGCAAAAACTTTGCATTTTAGACCCATTCAGTATAGCCATTCCAATGACCTTGCTGATCCTCAATTTGAGAAAGCAATGTTCCCAATAGTATCTCCAGCATCTCTGTGTGCCTCCCAACACTCACTCACTTCCTTCTTAATGAGGTGGACTTGCTAATAGTGCTACTGAAATTCATTCCCTCTTCACATCTGAAGAGCAGTGAGAACTGAGGATCTTTCCTCATGAATGACAGGAGTCATTCCCCAGAATCAGGAAGGGGCCTCCTAATACAGATGACTCTGGAAAGAGACAGAGGTGTGATTTCCACTGAACAGGAACCAGCATTCTGAAAAGATGAAAGAACAGGTTGATATTTACTGTTGTATGGTCTTAAGCATGCTGTGTGATCAAGAGTGCTCTTGATGTTGTTCTGCAGGCACCACAAGATTATGGATCTATCCCTCTTCTTTCCAGCAAGTTACACAACCCATCAAATCACCATGTTCTCATGCAAACTTTCCTGTCACATGGGAAGAAGTAGCTCTGTATTTTATATCTCAGCAGATACCACCATGTAGCTCCTTTCCATGTAGTATAGAAAAAAATGACCCTAATTTCTCTCCTACTAGCAGGATTCCTCCAATGATGATGTCTCAATACACTGCAATCATTCTGTGTTCAAATTCAACAAATTTTCTCATAGATTCTATTTTTGCTTATGAAGTAATTGCTCATTTCACTCCAGAATTTTTTTCTTCTGTCTTTTTATGGGTGTTCCCAGAAAACGAAGTCTTTCTTTTTATTTTAAATAATGTATTTATTTCTTCTACTCTAGGATCCAGTTGAACTGCACATGTTGCATTTAGTTATCATGACTCGTTGAACTTCAGTCTGGGACAGTTCTTCAGCCTTTATATTTCACAACCCTGACATTTTTTGAGTCAGAGTTTATTTTAAAAGGATGTCCATAAATCTGAGGTGTGAAAGTATTTTATACTATAATTTTTGTAGAGTCTTACACCTTTCAGAATTAAACACACACACACACACACACACACACACACACACACACACGACACACTGGGAAAGAAATTAAATGAACCCAGAAGCAGTACATTTCAAGAAGCACTGATTAGCAAAAACATCAGCAGACAGGGCCTGTTTAGCAGATATGGACTGTCTTAAATAATTATTTTCTCCTGATTAGAAAAGCAGAAAACAAGCATTAAAGGCCTCTCACCTATTAATCGCCTGCACTTTCTCCCATCCTAGGAAGAAGGCCACCACCAGAATAAAAGCCCCACTACATCACAAAGTGCTCATTTGCAGGTGCCATTTAATGAAATAAACTTTTAGCCATAGAAATATCAATGAAATAGTAAGTGCCAAACCTTAATTCCTCCACAGAGACACTAAATTAACAACACATATGGACCAAGTTGCCTTTGTGAGAACTCCAACAACTAGTTAAGAGATATTAGCACATCATGGAGACACAAATTCAGGAAGAGGTGAATAAAAATGGACAAGAAATGTTGCTGTATTTGCCATCAAGGACCTACACCCTCCCAAAAGCAGCATGGCACAATCAGGAGAAAATTCCCAAGTTCTGAATTGAAACAAGAATAAGAAGGTGGAATATTCATGTAAAGATGTATCTTTCTAGTAGGCTTATGCCTTGCCTGACTTAGAGCACTATAGAGAAAGACACAGAAAAATGTTAAGGCTCATACATTACCAGAGAGACTGTAGTACCACAAACAGATGACAGGTGGGACAAGAGATGATGGGCTCTGAGAACAAAGGCAAACCTCTTTAATGGTGAAAATTACACAAACAAGCCCAGAGAAAATTCATTTTCTGAAAACGTTTGAGAATTTCTAGGCTTTTTTATTGGCAGGGCAATGGGACGGGGAGAGCCTCTGGGGATTAAATCCAGGTCCTCCCATATGCTGGGCAAATGCTCTATTATGAGCTACATCCCCAGTCCTAAAATTTCTATTATTCTGTGGTGAAAGTCTTCCACTACATGAAATCAATCCATAAAAACTTTGAGAAGTAGCTATTTTCTCAAAAGCCAAAAACTCAACAAGGAGAACAAAGCATGCAAAAAAATATGGAAACATGGCCAAACCAGAGAAATAAATTAAATATTCATAAACTTACTGTGAAATATTCTTTAAAGAAAATAGATCTATGATTTATCTGACAAAAAAATACAAATAATCCACCTGAAGGATAGTCAGTAAGCTAAAAGAGAACACAGACAACAAAATCGGGGAAGCAATACATGAACAAAATGAGAATATTAGCAAACACCTATAAATTATTAAAAAGCAACAAAAATTTTGGAGTTGGAGAATCAATAAGTAAATTGAAATATTTGATAGTGTCATAATAGATTCAATCTACCAGAGGGACATAATCAATAAACTTAGGAACTCATTATTTGAAATTATTGAATCAGTGAAGCAAAATAAAAAGGAACAAATAAAAGTGAATAGATCCTAAGGATTTTATGGGAAACTATTAAGCTGAATTTTTTGYATTAGGGGAATTTCAGAAAGGGAATAGGGTGGAAGAGATAGAGATTCAACTTTTTAAAATAATGATTGAAATTTTAAATTTCTCAAATTTGAAGAATAGACATACATATCCAAACACTAAATAAACTCTGATAAACCCAAAGACACCCATAATATGATATATTACACTCAAATCATCAAAAGTCACAAAGTTCAAACCATGGCAGCATCAAGGAAAAGCAATTCAACATGTACAAGGAAGATCCTAAAGGATTATCAGCAGATTTCTTAGTAAAATCCTTGGGCATCTTAAAAAGTCTCAAGCTCAAGCCACATGCCAGTTCAATAAATCAGAATCTCTGGTGGTGAGACTCAGGCATCAATGTTTTTAAAGATCCCTTAGTGCTTCCCATAAAGGCAATCTGGAGGACCAGTGATACACATCCTAATAGATAACCTGCACAAATAAATTTTTTATAAATGCGAAATTTATATGGTAAAGACACAGAAGCTACTGAAAATATATTTATTATAAGAAATTTTAAGTATATAAAAAGAGAGTTTCTCATCTTTCTGAGATTCTTGGATAATTAATAATAAAGTACAGAAGGTTGCATAAGTATAATAAAATTCAGAAATGCATGAGTAAGCTGTACAAAGAATACAGAAACTCCCACAGTTTCACTAAAGACAGTTTTTTTTAAAAGCAATATTTAGATATGAAATAGGAGGAGAAATGAAAACCACAAGAGCTTAAAAATGACGTGATGAAGGAAATGAGTTTTGCAGGCCTAGATGTTTAGTTTTGTTGCCTTTGCAGACCAGCACTGTAAATAGATAACACAAATCCTGAGACTAGACTATTTTTCTGAAAAGCCTCCACATAGCCCTCTTGATGTCCTTGTTTCTAAGGCTGTATATGAAAGGGTTAAGCATAGGGGTGACTACAGTGTACGCTACTGAGGCCACTGCACCCATCCTAGGAGAAAGTGAGACAGCTGAACTGAGATACACCCCAAGGCCTGTCCCATAAAATAAGCAAACAACTGACAAGTGAGACCCACAGGTAGAGAAAGCTTTATATTTCCCACCTGATGATGGAACTCTCAGAATAGAGGAAACTATTTTATAGTAAGAGAAGAAGATCCCTGAGATAGGAAGAAAACCAGAGATGGCACCAACAAAATACATGACTATGTTATTGGTAAATGTATCAGAACAGGCAAGGTTGAGGAGCTGAGAAGGGTCGCAGAAGAAATGAGAAATCTCCACATTCTTGAAGTAGGTAAGTTGTAACACCGTTGAATTATGCAGCTGGGAGACCAAAAGGCTGATGAGAACTGACAACAAAACCAATGAGCCACAAAGGCGAGGGTGCATAATGACCTGGTAGTGTAGTGGATGGCAAATGGCTACAAACCTGTCATAGGCCATTACAGTTAGAAGCAGACTATCCAAACATCCAAAAAGCATAAAAAAAGACATCTGAGTCAGGCAGCCTGCATAGGAGATGACTCTGTTATGTGTTTGGATGTCCACAATCATCTTTSGGACCGTGGTAGAGGTGAAACTGATGTCAGCCAAGGACAGGTTGACGAGGAAGAAGTACATGGGGGTGTAGAGGTGGGAGTCAGAGCTGACAGCCAGGGTGATGAGCAGGTTCCCAAGCACTGTGACGAGGTACATGGACAGGAACAGTCCAAAGAGGAGGGGCTGCAGTTCTGGATCCTCTGAGAGGCCCATGAGATGGAATTCTGAAACACGTGTTACATTTTGTGATTCTATATTGGAGAGAAAACTTTTGAGAAGGAAAAATAGGTTGAAAAAAGTAAATAAGCAAACCAGTACACAGCACTGTCTATTATTTTAGATTGAAGCAATTCACTAGTAAAGCCCTTTTGTTTGAGGACCACATACCCTCAGCAATATTTCTTAGTTATGACACTCCCAAACATCTTAGAACTCTGTCATAGTTTATTTTTGTGGTATTCATCTTTTTCTATACACATCAATCTTAGAGACACTCAACTGAAGTATATTTTAAAAGCAAAAACATTAGAGATAAATATGTAATTATGATAAAATATTCTTTTAAGAAAAAAACAAAGATAAATATCCTTTCACCTTTGAGAAAAACACCATTCTAATTAAAAGAAAGTAAAAACTATTTTATTCAAATATAATGCAAGAAATTCTCTTATTATATAATATTTATAAGATCTATAAGTGCTAAAACCAAAGTATCTGGATTCTAATTAAAAACCAAATATTCATAATCATAAAGCATTTTTATGTGCCAGTTATCGTCATGGATTTTCATCCATTTTTGGCCTTCTGACTTTGCTCCTTTATGGAATTAAGTGCTACTCAAAACTGTAGGATGCATGTTTTTAATTCTTCTCTAATATAACATCTAACCTTGGCCTGATACACTTCAAATTTTGACAAACATGTTTTGGTTAAATATATCAAATCATACAGCATCACCAATCTCATAGATGTCATCAGTGTATAATAATATCCAAATCATTAAATACATAATAATTAGCATTTAAGAAATATTTTCTAATAATTCTCATTTTATTCAGTATTAACTTATCAATCCTATGCAATCTCAAGGAAACATCTGGTATTTCATACTTCTTTGTGTTCTCTCACTCCCTCTCTTTTAAGTTTGTGATGGCTTGGTTTAAATACTTAAAGGGATTTCTTTTATTTCATTGACAAAATATAATCATGTGTTTGGAGGGTATAGACTGATATTAAGATATGGGTACAAAGTAATTGGATCAAGTTTAAATGAATTTCTAATCTTAAGCATTTGGAAATGTTGTGTCCTCATGAAATCCAACCTCCTTGCTGATGGTTGAGGAATTTAGGGCCATGGGTGAAGCAAACACAGGCCTGACACATAGCCTTCTTATGCCTAATTAACAGCTGTTCACTTCAATCTTTCCTGATATAGAAATTTCATTTCTCTTTCACCAGCTCCCTGAGGGAAACTGTAGTCCTCATTTCTCTGAAGTAGGTAAGTTGTAACACCATTGAATTATGCCACTGGGAGACCAAAAGGCTGATGAGAACTGACAACAAAACCAATGAGCCACAAAGGCATATCACAGTATGATTTAATTTCAGAGAAAATACAAAAGGAAATAAAGGACAGACAGGTGAATGTAATACCTGGAGAGTTTCCACACTGTAAAATGAAAATCATAGCTGAACTTACCTTACAGTGGTGTGTTTAAGAAATTGGGTGAAATGAAACAAAGTGCTTAGACCAGTGGTCATCAATACTAATTGATCATTATATTTACATATGGGTATTTAAAATATACGGATGCTCTGCCATAGCTTAGAATTAATTAAATAATTATCTCTGTATATAGGGTTCTTAGTGGTCCAGGACCAAGAATCAATGTCTCAGAATACTGCCACACACTAGAAAATATTCTATTAATAGTATATATGTTATTATCATGATTAACACTTACTACCTATATTAAAAATATAAACAATTCAATATTTGCCTCAGAACTTCTATTTAAAAAGATCTGAAATATTACCAATAAAATCTGAGTTTTCCTATATCCATGCATAATCCCATTCTTCTATACATCTGTCCCGAAAATGCAAACACTGTCAGGAATTTGATAAGTATATTTTGTCCATGATTTTCTAACATTAGTATTGATTTGCTTATGTGTAATTCTCTTGAAAATATAGGAAACCAATATACTGCTCTATATTACATCTAACATTTTAATAAAATACTGAATTAAATTCTTTCTGTGAAGTACATATATTCAGATATAACATTTCAATGCATAACATTGCCTGAAGATTGGATTTCATTTTATTTTTTAATTTCTCATGACAATCCTATGAAAATTCTCCCACTTCTCTTATCACACTAGTGAGAATTTGTATATGATGTGTGCCTGCAGGATAGCCGTTTTGAGTTATAAAAAAAGATGTCTATTCAATTTTTACTATTTAATGCCTACATTTGTTTTTCCAATAGAAAAAATCAGGTGCTATCAAATACTTTATTTTATTAAGATATCAAATGAAGCGAAGCTCAGTGGCACACACCTGTAATCCCAGTAACTCAGAAGGGCTGAGGTAGGAGGACCACAAATTCAAAGCCAGCCTCTACAAGTGAGGCCCTAAGGAACTTAGTGAGACCCTGTTTCTAATAAAAAATAAAAGCACCCCTGGGTTCAATCCCCAGTACCAAAACAATACAACAACAAAAAAAGATATCAAATAAGAAATATTCTTGAAGTCTGTCTAATATAATCACTCTCTGAGAGTTCCATGTGAAAATTCTCATCTTATATAGGAAATAATATTTCCATGTCTCAGATATCCAAACTTGGTTATAAAAGTGCATTATTATTAATATTAAAAATTACATACTTATGTCAGAAATGCCTCTATAAACCACACTTCATGCTGCCACTTCTCAGATGAACTCACTGAATTGCAAGAGAAAGAATCAATGTTTCTGCCTTGGTTTGTTTATCTGTGCTCGAGGAGGTTTTACAAGAAAAACTCTAATTTGGCTCTCATGAGAAAACAAAGTCCTGAAAGTACAGTCAATAGACCACGGTCTGAGTCCAATTTCTTTTTCTAACATTCACACTGTAGTACGCAAAGAACTCTTCCCTTCTCTGTACTAGCTTCCCTTATCTGGAAATGGGGAGAATAATACTAAACTCTAGAGATGTACAGTGCCTAAACTTAATAAATATTTGTTCATTATTTTGTAAACAGAATTTGAATCATCATTGGAATTTATTCCAGGCTTATTCATAAAGTACAATCCTATATAGTTTTCATGCCCTTTTGTTGTTTATATGGTACAGAAGACAAGTCTTTTGGGTCTCAGGCACTGGAGCCCAAGAGAATTGAAATAGAAAGTTCTATTCCTTTCAAGTAAAAGAACAATAATGTTTTTACCTGGGAGTGATCATTGTAGATGAAATTAAATAAACTATATAGAGTCAGGCACTTGGGAAAGTTTAATAAAGATTCATGACATCATCATTATGGTCATCTTTGTTCTTATCTTCATCCTGACCTTCATGATCATTTTAGAGCACATAAGAGACAGTTTAGAGAGATCCATTTCTTGTGATAATAAAAGAGATACCCACCAGAGCTAGAGATAGTGTGGAAAGAGAACAGAACTCCTCTCAGTCATGGATCCTGAACAGAACCAAGACTATAAACTAGAATAGTGGTCACAGAGGGTGGGAAGGGAAGGGAGAAGTGGGAAAGAGGGAGATTGGATAACAGGTACTAAAATACAGTTAGCTAGGAGGAATAAATTTTAGTGTTCTATAGCACAGAAGGGTAGGCAAAGTTTTCAATAATTTATTATATATTTTATAAAGAACTAGAAGAGAGGCATTTGAATGTTCCCAACACAAAGAAATAAGAAATGTTTAAGGAGATATAAATGCTAATTATCCTGATTTGATCATGAAATATTATATACATGTATCAAATTATCACACTGTGCTCCATAAACATATATAAAATTATTATGTCAATTAATTTTTAATTTAATTTTTTATTTCATAGGCCTCTGAGTTAAAATTTTGTATTTGGGGGGCCTCCTATCTGGATACTCCAACTTCTTGTCTGGGTAATGAGGAACTGATGCTCTCTGAGCCCCTTCTGCGTCTAGTTTCTTCCACCACACTCACCAGTCAGTGCTGCCACTATGCTGGGGCATGACCAAGGAGTGATGATCCATTGCCTCTCCTCTGCCTGGTAAGTGGTGAGGAATCAGGCTCCGTCCTCAGAATTGGCAGGAGGACAGACTCAGGCATGGACCTCCAATGTAAACAATGACTCTGGAAAGAGGAGACACACAGAACCAACTGGACTGGGACCAAGAAGCTGCAGAGCATAGGCCGATTGTTTATAGTTGTATGGGTGGGTCTGAGGGCTCCAGAGGCAGAGCTCATAATTAGCTAAATTGGTTCATGTAATGCTAATCTCTGAGGTCTCGTTAATATTAATGGAACAGAAGCATAGGGAGAGTTGGCTACTCCCCTCTTACAACTCTGAAGCTTCATAAATCTCAAACTCACTTTTTAAGTTTAAACAAAATCAAGAGTTTARTCTCATTAAAAGCATGCAAATTACCAAGAAATTTTGAGAAAATTAGATCGGTATTGAGAATCAGATTGCATATCAGATAGCATAATTATCTCAAGTTAATACTTTTGACTCTAGAATGATCTGACAGAGGTGTCTCAAATATCCAACAATAATCACATTATTAAACTTCAAGTGTTCAAATCCCCCTTGCAAACACACTCCATAAAGCAGGACATTCCATGGGACTACTCCTAGTAGCTGAGGACAAAGACCAGACTCTCTTGGATAAGGCTAAATTTTCACTACACACATCACAACCTGGGCTTCAAAAAAGACTCTCTTAGAGCAAAATGAGCATAGTTGCTGGAACATCTACCTTCAGCATACCTTTTATGTAACAAATAAACCCTATCAGTCTGAGTGTTCCTATCATTTGGAGAAGCCAGTATTGGGTTGAGATAGATTGTTTTAAAAAATAACTAATCTGTGCTGGGTGTGGTGGCATACACCTATAACCCCAGTGACTCAGGAGGCTAAAGCAAACATTGCAAGTTTGTGAGGGCCCTCAGCAATTTAATGAGACCCKGACTCAAAATAAAATTAAAAAGGTCTAGTGATGTAGCTTAATGGTAAAGTACCCTAAGTTCAAGCCCTAGAAACAATAACAAAAAAAACCCTTAATCTGTCTA